ATAGAGCGGTTTGATAGATGTCGTTGGTTCTAATACTATACCATATTTGATATGCTAAAATTGAATAGAAGGTGACAATGAAGACTCTAGGTAAACAGGTCTTCATTGAAGAGATTTCCCTGTGATCAGGATTTGAAACAGTAAGCCGACAAAGAGGCTACATCCAACACAGACCATCATGATGATGTCCCACCCGTCTGCTCGATTTTGTATACGTCGAGTGCAATCAATGGCGAAGAACACTACGGATACAAACAGAATTACAAGAATGCCCATTAGCTACTTTCCTTATTCTTATTGTCTTTTATGAAGGGCTTCCACTTGCGGGGTTTCCATAGATAGACTGAGCCTGCCCAAAACACACAGAGTGCTACATAAGTCAGGGTTTCACCTTTTGGGAGAACTATAAGAAGAAGGACAGAGTAGGCTAAGATGGCTAGCAGTTTGACTATTCGGATTTGCCATTGCTTCATGGGTGCGCCTCCATAAACTTGAACATGGTGTATGCAGAGTCGAGGACCATAATGTAGACAGATAGAATACACAATGTGCCCATGAGAGACTTTCTGCGAAATTCCTTACGTTCCTTCTTGTCTTTTATTTCCTTCATGAAGCGAGAAGGAACACATATCATGAAAATTAGGACACTCAGTGCGATAACTAAGAGGACGATCAAGAAGATGCAGTAAGGGGTATTTGTGATGTTGTGGACGAATGTTTCCATTTAGAGGGCCAGCATGATCAAAGAAAAGACAACCCATAGAGCAGCTACCACGATGATAGTTACTGGCTCAAAGGGGAGGAATGAGAAGACGCACATGGTCATGGCTACTAAGAAGGCAAATGCCACAAGAAATGCTGAGAACTTAGACATTGGCTTTTCCTTTTCGACTTGCACATGTTTGGCAGCTCTGTTCTTTTCCTTCTGCTATTCGATTGCACTCTGTAGGGCTCCAGCCCAAGATAGAGACACACAGATGAGCTACGGAGATATTTAAGTCAGTAGGTTTTCCGTGCTTTACTTGAGTGAGGATGCTTTCCATCGTATGACCTAGAACAGTCAACATCATCTCTTTAGAGTTATGGCTAAGATATTCTGCCAACTCTTTGTTGATGTAGGTGCTTGCTCTGCGACAAGCTTCATGCTGTTGTTCTTTGGTTGGATAGATGGACTCGAAGACATTAGACAGGACACCTATGTTCTGCTGATGAATCGCAGAGGTAGGCTTCACGCTAGCAGGGTTGTCCGAGCATTCTTGTAAGTACTTATACATATACAGGGTCGCTAAATGCGAGTTCTGTCGTGCGGGCGTTTTGGGCAGATTCATGTTCGTTGCTTCCGATAAAGGCTGAGTTAGGTCCGACAATGTTGACTTATTCGTCTTCAAAGATGAAGGGGATTTGTTCATTGTCCACCTTCACTCCGTCTTCGTGTGTTACTTCGTGCTGCGTTGAATCAGCTCTTGAATGCCTTCCACCAGCTCACCTAGGAAAGGATTCTCGGCTGCACGCTTCAGCTTTCCACTAAAGTCCTCTACCATGACAGAAGAGGAAATGGAGATCTGAATCTTGGGGCGAGTCAGTGCTACATAGTGACAGCACTTCTCAGCTTCCCATTCCATTGTGCTGATAGGGGATGTAGGAGCTAAGCCACACCATATCACATAATCAGCCTCAGCCCCTTTCGCAGAGTGGATTGTAGACAGCATCACACGATTGACTTGCTTCTTGCTAGAACGTGTTTGTGGCTCGTTCTCGTCTTCAGGCTCATCCCCTTCATAGACTGTTTGGAGAGAAGAGTAGACCTTAGCGAAGATCATTTCTTCAGGCTCCGCATCGTACTCAATACGAGACTTGCGAACCTTTTCTGCGATCATGTCTAGAGAGGTCTCAGGTGTGTCATCAAAAGGATTTGTCGGCCCATCGTCAGGTTTGCATCCTAGATCGTTTAAGACCTTCTCTACGTCTACTCGATTGGCTTCCTTGAATGACTCATAAATGCTTGTGGTGAACTCGAATGCTCGGCCCATTGATTCTTTGTCAAGGTCTAACGTGGGGAGGTTTTCGTCCAGCTCTTCTTCTAGGATTTTCCCGTCGAACGCTTCTGACTCTTGTGCCTTCTGTAGTTTGGATTTCGAGAAGTTGAAGTTAGAATCCAGCACACGACGAATGATGTCGTTAATGATGATCAATGATTGCCCATTGCGTAGGACACGTTCTGAGATTTCATAGAGCGTTTGGATTAGAGAGACCGCTACCTTGAGCGCCTTGTCTTTCTGAGTACGGTTGGAAATCTGATTGATCACCTTCTTGAGGTAGTCGATTCGTTCGTATGCATCGCCCATCTTGTGGAAGTCTTTTAAGTTGTCCTCCAGCTTGTCGAGATACTTAGCCCCGAATCCTCGCACGTTCTCAAAGACGGAGACAGTGGCAATCTTGTCAGAAGGGTTGTTGATAATAGAGTAGGCTAAATAAAGGAACTTGAACGCGGACTGGTTAATCGGGGAATTTCGGTCTAGGCGGAGTTTGTACGGGATTGCCTTCGAGATCATGTGGGGTTCGAGTTGAGACAGCGTTCGATTTGATCGGGAGAGGACTAAGATGTCGTTGTAGGCCACTCCTGCGCTCTTCAGCTCACGTATCTTTTCTGCCACCGCTGCGAACTCTTCCTTGGTAGTGTTGTATTGTCGGATAGAGATAGAGCGAGGAATAGCAGAACATTTAGGCACTGCGTCTGTCGAGTCGTAATCGGAATGTGTATAGAGTCTGTCGAGGATCACCTACTAGAGTAAGGCTGTCTTGATATGCGGTCATTACCATGGCTGCTTGTAGGCAGTCCAAGTCTTGTGATTCGTCAACCAATACGTGGCGGGTGAACTTACGCATTTCACGCAAGATGTCTTCGTTACGAGATAGATGGTACACGGTGTTCAAGATCATGTCAGAGAAGGACATCACATGGCTTTCATGTTTCTCTTGATAAAGGCGTTCGATGATTTGCTCCATGGCTGCACGTGCGTTGGCTTGCCCGATTGCAGTGTTCCACGTTTTGAATGAGGATAGCTCATGTTCGGCAGACAACTTCATCTTGTTAAAGTCAGGCACCAGTGTACCATGCTTAGAGATTTCATGAACGGTAAAATTGTTGATCTGATAGACTGGAGCTTCGTTCTTTATTCGAGGGTCGTGCATGATTAAGGGCATCAAGTTCTTAGCGACTAAGTCCTCGATGTAGTAGTAGCCAGCAACCAGCTCATTCACCTTCATATTTCGGGCTGCGTCTTTTAGTACGTCTCGTGCTATTGCCTTGAACAGCTTGATAGACTGAGACTCCGACATGATTGATTGTTTTTCTTGACGAAGATGAGATACACGGTAATTGGCAGAGAATCCGAGACCATGGAGAGTTGAGACGTTGATTGAGCCTAATGAGTTGGGTACTGCACCAAAGTCAATCTCGATGTCTTCAGAGGCAGACTGCATTTGTGTGCGAAGACCTTCCGTATAAGCAGCCTCTTGGAGCTTGGCCCACTTCTCACGTAACTCAGCCGCTGCCTTATTGTTAAAGGCAATCAGCGAGATTTCAGTTGGACGAACTCCGTAGACTCGAATCATAAAGAGGGCACGTGCAATTAGCGTTGTACTCTTTCCAGCGCCAGCAGATGCGATTACACGTTTGACTCCGTTCAGGCCTGAGACCACAAATGGAATTTGGAATTCATCCAGCTTGGCTAAGTGCTCAAGTTCTTTAGGAAGGAACTTGTCCTTATGCTGTTCTAATAGAGGATTCATGTCTTTTGAGTTGTCCTGAAAAACGAGGTTTCAAGATATATGTGCTTAAGCTTGAATAGCAGAGGAAACAAAAAGGCCCTAACAGAATTGCTAGAGCCTCTTTGGGAGAGTTGAATTAAGGGTGATTGCGAAGTCACTTAACCATAGNTGATACAGTTGCAAGTCGATGGCCAGTTTAGGTATTTCGGTCGCATTCGGGTGTTGAGTCTGCCACTTAAGAATTTCACGCTTATTCGGAGGTCGAGTGAAACATTGAAACATTGTGTGGCAAGGAGGCAGTGCTACTTTATCCGCTTCCGCTGGGTTCCATGCAGAGACAATCATGCGACGAGAATTAGGGTCAGTTTTTAGCAGATGTACTAATCGAGCAATCTGATCTACATACACAGGGACATAGCGTTGATCAGATTCAGCATCTGTGTTTTCTTCTACAGCCGCAAAGTTGCGCCATTGTTTGCCATAGATAGGGCCGAGGTCACCTTCTTCACGTCCGAAGATTGCACACTTCTCAGCAGTAGCCCATTCATCCCAAATAGATACCCCTACTTCTTTGAGATATTTGTTATCTGTATGCCCTCGGAGGAACCACAAGAGTTCGTGGATGATGGACTTCATGTGTACTTTTTTGGTTGTTAATAAAGGGAAGCCCTCAACTAAGTCGAATCGCATTTGATGTCCGAATATTGACTTAGTTCCCGTGTTTGTTCGATCTTCTTTGACGTACCCGTACTCCAGTACTTCTTCTATAAGATCAAGATACTTGTGCATTTTTCATGCCCCTATTATGCATTAGTTGACGTAGGATTTCTTTTATTTCAGCAGAGACCTGCTCGATACTTCGCTCTGCATCGACGAAGTAGTATGTTGTTCCTTTGAGGATTGTCTCTCCTCTTAGGCTTCTTTCTCGCAGACCTAGGTAATATGTGTGAACCTTTTTAAAGAATGTGTATTTTTCTTTTTCAAAACGATCTAAAGTTTCACCACGGGACGCAACCCGTTCACGAGATACTTTAGGAGAGACTAACAGGATTATGACATAGTCAGGGTTTCCGTTGTTGCGTCGATTACCAAATACCGTCTCATGCAGATCGCGACAGAATTTCTCTCCCATGCCTTGACCAATCCCTTGGTATGCAACTGTGCTATCAAAGTAGCGATCACACAATACGACCTTGCCTTCTTCTAGGGCAGGTTCGATTTTTTCAGTCAGGTTGTGTGCACGTGCTGCCATATAAAGGAGTAGTGTGGCTTCCTCCTTCATCGTGGTATTTGGGTTTAATAGAAGTCTGCGGATTTCTTCCCCTAATCCAGTTCCTCCCGGCTCTCTTGAGTGGATTACTTCTATGCCTGACTCTTCTAATTCTTTGCGTATGAAGTTGCTCGCTGTGGTCTTTCCTGCGCCCTCGATACCCTCAATCACTAAAAACATTTCTTCCTCTCCAGCCTATCTTGCAAGCATAGCAAAAATCGCATCATTTTCGCTATTCTCCGCCCATCCAAATCAAAACCAATCGCTAAATAGCTTAAATAGGTAAACCCTTAAAAAATCGCAAATCCTGAGCAATCGTTAGGAAAGCTCAGGATTCAGTTTCTTAGAGGAAAGGTGAGGTCTTCTTCACTGTAGAAGGGTCAGGTGCTTTCTTCGGCTCAGAGGCAAAGATGTTCTTTGTGGTAGGAGCTGGAGCATTTTCTTTCCATATCGCGTCACCATTATGGCTTAGATAGTAGCCACGATTATGCGTCTTGATGGTGTGTGTCGTTCCGAAGACTGGGGCTTTAGGTAGACGTCCTGTTGCTTTCGCAGATACAGGGGCATACGGGTCAAGTGAGATTACATGGTTCAAGATCGTTACCATTTTAGCCGACTTGTCAATCAGCCATATCGCAGTAGGAGTATTCTTGAACGTCAGCTTAGAACGTGCAGTAGAAATCTCTTGTGCTTCGACACGCTTGATTTGATTCATTCCGTCTAACGCAATAAAGTGGAAGCTTGACGACTTAGTTGAGTCAGAGCAAGTATAGTCCACACAGATCGGGATTGCATAACGAGTAATGTCTAGATTAGCGCTATTAACCTTCTTATTGGACAGATTCGCCAACTTGAGAGGGGTCATCATTGTGCCGACAGGAACGTCAATGAAATGGACTGTGCCATCTGCGAATAGGAACGGTGTCTTTTCAGAGAATGAGAAGAATGCCTGTTCTATGCGGTCACCTGTCAATAAAGGGATTGATAATTCAGCGCTCTTCACCGAGTTGTTTTTTACGAGATACGTAAAGCCCTTCTTGGTGTACACGACCACATTTGGAGTAGGGACAATGCTCAAGCTTTCTGCCACGTATTCCTTTGGAGGTTGTGGGCGTGATGCACGATTTGCATAGCGGGCTAGAGAAGGGTCATACTCATTCTTGTACTTCTTCACGCCCCACGCATCTAGGTTGTGCAGGATTTGTTCCAGCTCAGTCGCTAGGTGAGTTTTTCGTGCTTCCTCACTCTCCATCAAGGACACATATTCAGCACGACGATCTAGAAGGTCTTGTAGACGCTTGAGTTGGCTCTCGTCTTCCAGTTTAGATAGTTGACGCAGAGACAGTGCCGAGATTTCTTTGGTGTCTTCCTCGGTGTATTGGTTTAGAGAGAAACGCTCTAAGTGACGCTCGAAGATAGTAGACAGATCAGTGTGGATTTCATCTTCTTTGTCAGACTTAGTCACCACGTCCATCACGGATGATTTGAAGGCCTTCGCCATGCGTAATAAATTCAGGCGATTGATTTGACGAGTAAGACGCTCTGCCTGTTCAGCCGACACACGAATTAGGATTTGATGACGTTCGCGTGTCCAGTCATTCAGAATCGAGTCGATGTTGTACTTGATCGGGAAGGA